CACACGAGATACTGATTCCTATCATCACTCAAAATTGAGACATGATGATGCTCAAGATTGACGCTGGCCGCATTGAGGCCATCTAATCATGTTGCGGATCGTTCCTTGACCATCAATTGACCAATGCAATTCATACCGCATACGATCTATCGACCCGTAGTATTGATCTGTCTGCCAGATGTGCCACAGAGGAGCACTGTTTAAGCTACTACATGTAAAGCCTGTTAGAATCCCTGAATGCACCAGGTTGAGCGCTCCAAAGAAGGATAGGACAGAGAGATAAGTGAGAGCGCATGGATTGCGAATCGTAAGTCTTGACAGGTCGTTGTATCGCAGTCTTCGAGAAACTAAATTCGTGACATCTTCCCATTCGAATCAAATACCCCGCCTTTGTGGACTTAGTCCGAACCGCGCGCTGCTGTATCGACTCGGGTCATGGGATAGAACCCCGAGTGATACGGCAACCACTCATGTCAGTGTTTTGAGCCACTTTCTGAACAACTGTTGAGAAAACCTCGTGGCTGGCGGCTCCATTTATCCCTGGTAGCCTTCAGGCGCGCGGAAAGAGCCCAAATTGTAAGGCTGTCAATTGAAGATATTTTTTCCTGATACTGGTGATTCGACCATGCAATATGCGATATGCGATATTTTTGAATATTGAACTCTAAGGGTTCTGTTTGGCTGGTTGCGCGCGTCGATTGTGATATTGAGGAAACAATGAAGCGGTAAGAACACATTACAAAATGAGAACGTTGAACCCAATATTGAAATAATCTGTTCATTCAATCCGACATTTGCTCTTCTCTATTCTCAATTATATCAGCTGTCACAGAAACCCTCACTCGTGAACACACTTTGACAACCACAATACTGGCTCTATCGGCCCCCTTCTCACCCCTATACTTAGCCCCCATTTTCACATTGGAGTTGAATCTTGTCCATCATTAATATCAAATGAAAAGCAATTCTGCCCAATATCACTATCGCACACCTGCCGGACAAAGCACCAATCAATAGATCAATCGACTCTTCACCGAATCAAAAGCCATACTTTTGACGCCCGAACACGTTCGTGACATCCGCTCTAAGTATAGCTTATAGCCTATACTCACGAGGAGACCCCCATTTGAGCGGAGCCAATCAAATTAAATTCAGCTCCAACCGCTCAGGTTTCTCCGGTTTCTTTCTCCTGCAGTTCACCCAAAACGCCAAACTCAAAACGCGAATCACGTCTTAGGATTGCTACATAGCTTTGTCGGTGTCGGTTGATATTGGTCGAGTCAGCTCAGAATATTGACCTGGTTCTCCGACCGTGGAGGATAGAACAACAACCTTCGAGAGCGACGCCACCATTAGAAGTCACAACATCTCGATATCATCCTATCAGCTCGTGGGTTGTATTGAAGTTCCCTTGTAAGATTACATACTCTTAGCACACTTCACTGCCACCATTGCTCCGGAGTCCGCATACCTTCCCTTCCCTTCCCTTCCCTTCCTAGGTCGTCTACTCGCACACCTCGCATGAACAATTAAGGATAATTATTGTATTACATACATTTTTTCCGATTACATGCCGACACTCTATTCCTTTGCCTGCTAGCTAATTAGCAAACATTTCTCACTCCAGTCTCAGAGACTCACATGCGGATTCCTGGTCAAGACTCATCTCCAACTAGACGAGATCTGCTTGCTCAATTAACACCTTCCATCTACCCTGGCCTGGTCGTGGAACTTCTTCCTAGCCATCACAACCCTCGGACCAAGTGCAATATAAAACAATCACCCAAATCAACCCAAGTCGCTTCCAGAAAAGAAAACAAACGGCTTCACACCTCACGCGTCGCCGCTTTTACATATCGGAACTTTTATTGCTTGTGTACAAAGTTCCCAGTATTTTCACCACCACCTACGAGCCTACCTACCTAGTAGGTATTGCTCCCTCTCACGTTGAACAAGAGGATCCTCTACCTAGCACATTATTGGATGTTCCAGACATTTTGGAAAAGGTCCCAAATAAATTAAACGGTAACGGCAACGCGATCGAATGAGAATCCCAATCCAAATAAAATCAAAGTTCTTAGTTTATTAGCTGCTTTCCTAATCCCCCTCCGTCCCTTGTCTTACCTCCGACCCACATCCTCTACCACCTTGCCTTGTCAAAAGGCCTCCACCAAGGCGGCCAACATCATCAATTACGCTCATTGCCAAAATCCCCAAGCGCCCTCCTCTGACTTAGTACTGGATACTAAATTCGTCAGTACAGATAGACCCTGTTCCTTTTGGCGCCATCTCTTCCGTTACCATACCTTCCACCTTCCTTACCTTGCTTCAGCTACTGGGGGAAACATCGTTTCGAAATTCATATTATAATACTTCCCCAAGACCCAAAACGTCTCAACTTCTACCCTTCTTTCTTCACGGATCTCGAGCCCTACCGTCGTCGCTGCTTGCACACCTTTGGACCCTTTTGTCTACTTCGTCATTCTTTACAAATAATGGAAACCCCAATCAAAACTTCTGCTCCCGCAGCCGTGAGCGCACCTATTCTTCCTCCACCCAAAAGATCAATGTCTACCACCAAACCCAAGCTTCCCCAACTCAAGACCCCAATGTCTTCAACTTTTCCCTCGGAGCTATCAGCTCTATCAAATTCCGCACGTAGCCCACTTCCTGGCTATGCCGACTTTATCATCAAACAAGAAGACTCTATCAAGACTCCCATTACCCCTCCACTTGCATATACCGACTTCCTCAAGACTATGAACAGCCCCATAGTTACAGAGATTAAGTGTTCGAGGCCAACACCTACATCTGCACCCTCGTCAGAATCTTTGACTAGCAGTGAAGGCAGTGACTGTTCATGCAATTGCGATGCACATAAGTCACCAGCCACTTCTGTTCCTCCTACTCCATTCAGCTACCCAACATCCGCGCCATCATCTGCAATCCTGGGACGTCTTCGCATTCCAGCTTCACCAGCATCTTCCTATGCTGAATCTCCCTTAAGCGCACGCTCTCCCTTTAGTGCACGAAGCGCACGTTCGCCATATGATTGGGATCTTAGAGCCAAGGGAAGATACTTTGATATCAAACCACAGAAGCAAACACGGTCAAGCGTTCGTCAAGTCAGGGAAGTTGTCACCCGAACAGTCACATATACACCTCGAATGAGCCCCGCACCCAAGGGCAAGAGAAGGAAAGTCGACCATCATGTGGAGTAGATATTTTATACCAATATATTGCCCCTCATTTCGACACTCTATTTATCGCATTTCTTATATCTATACATTCCTTTAGAACCACATACATCTACATCACTACTCATTATAACATATTTCTTTTGTCACCGCCGTTTAACCAACAAAATCATCTTATATTTAACGACTTTATGGCTTCATTTCTTGATTGCGACAATAATGGCACCGTCGTGTCTTGTTTAGGGAGGAAAATGTGCGAGCTCGGCGATTATAGCCTGGAGTCTCATCTGGAGTTCCGGAGTGGACATCATTCATAGCACGGCCTTGGTGTTAACAAGCGGGCAGATTATTGCATTTTGGGGGGTTTGCTTGGACTTTGGAAAGTACAGGAGTAGGAGTGGAGGATAAGGTCTTTTTTTTTCATTGAGGAGGACGGGACTTAATTGCTGGCTGTTGGCGTATAATTTTGTATATCGGCGTTTCACGGGCATGTCTGAGTGAATGGATACTTCTTGGGTGCTGAGAAGGAATCATTCGAGAGGGGAAGAATCTAGGATCAGGGGAAGAGGAGGAGTGGTGAGATGAAGCTATAGTGGAGTGTTCCGTATAAGCTATCCAATGAATACAAAAAACAATATTATATCACACTACCTAGGTACCTACACTACTACAGATTATTACCTAGTATTTCCGTGAATACATCCATTAGTTCCCTCCAAGTTCAAAATGATTATGCAATTTATGACTTATTTCTGAACTCCATTCCATCCATTCTTCGTCTTGATCTAAATGCATGATCTACCGGACCGCATGCCCATCGTAAATACAACTCCCGAAGCACATTTTTTCTTACGTGTGAATAATAAGTTATAACGTACACATCTATCAATAACATCAATAACATCAATATCCAAACCCAAATCAAAATTAATCACACTTTTAAGTTCTCACTATTCAATTTCGTTGCACATGCAGTCAGAAATTTTCCACGTTCATCGCATCAATTAATCACGCAGCACGCATAATCACATCACCAAGACCCATCACATCAAGAGATAATCAATCAATCACTCCCCGCCGTGCATTCGCCGCAATAGATATTAGATATCACATCCCCAAAACCAAGTACCGATGTGATTCCCACAGCGTAAATGCACCCCGTGAATCCACTCAGTACCGGTGATGTATGTATGTGACATGTTTCTCGGAAATATTTCATACTTTTCACAGAATATGGAACATCCATGGCTGCATGAATGAAATAAGCTATATTTCGTATATCACCAGCCGTCCAAGCCACAAAGTGACGAAGATGAAGCGTGTCACGCTTGCTTGGAAAGGCTCCATTAAAAGAATACTTGCATGGCATGATGGCTGATTAAGGTGCTATCGATAACTAACTTCCTTCCTAGACTGCAAGCTGCCTACTAGGGGTACAATAGAAGCAGTGTAATAAGCACATGGAACGTTGAGAACTCCCTACGGAATACACAACCCGATTTGTAGGCTGGTCGGCTTCGAGGGAAGGGGGAAGGGGGAAAATAAGCATAATCTTCCTTCACAGACTCCTTGATGAATCGCTCGCTATTATTGTCGTGAAAAGAAATACATATCGATCGATGGCTTTGTAGCATTCGTGTACTCCTCCTCAACGGACGTTCTGGAACTGAGGGGGATGTTCAGAGGAGGTTACATTTACCAAAATTAGATAATCGTGTCTCACTGTACTGTATGACATGCCTTCCATACGGGTATCATCCAGCATATGCGGCACGCACAAAGAATTTCTATTTTGAATACTCGATGGATGAGGGCAAAACCAAGCAAACGGCACTGAGGGAGAAGCGCACAAAGCAGCATCGAGCCACTAACGGGAAGCGGGAAAAGACCGTCCGACTTGCTCGTGGCATCTTCCCAACTCGGATAAGCTATTGGATACACAAGAAGGGAAATTGGAAGAACGATGCCACACGACAGGGATCTAAGCGCCGCCAGATCGGAGATTTTAGATGAATGGGGAGCCTCTGCATGGTTGATTGGAGGGAGACAGGGTCAGGGAACGGATAAGGGTGTGCTGTGTGGATCTGTGGCATGCCTTTACGAGTGGGTGCTTATTGATTGGTGCTGAGGCAATGGGGAATGGCCTTAAGCGCTGAGGAAGAAAATATGTGGAGTCTTTGCCGGGGGACTCGATGCTTGACTTACGAAGGGAGGGTGGTGATTGGATGAGAAGTGAGAGTTGGGAAACCAGGGGAGTTGGGGGATGGGATGGAGGGGTTTGGATTTCTTCTGGGGGGGGAGGAAGGGAAGAGGAGTTAGGAGAGACGAGGATGTGCTTTTGGGTGAGAAATTGTTCTTCGTATTATGTATGGATTGGAGATGTTCATTATTTCATCATTACCATCGTCGTGTACAGAGTACTTTGGTATGGGATTCACTTGATGAGGTCCGGAAATACCGTCGATAGGAAGGAGGTTGTTGGATGGGATCGATGAATGTTTACTGTATTATTCCTTTCGATACAACACTTTTGGAGGAATACTGAAATTGTTTGGAAACATCGGAGTAGCCGTATGGCAGTGTTAAGTCAATGGTCATCTGCAGTCCCATGAAGTTGGTCACTGAGGCACAGAATATTGAATGAGGAAGAAAGTCCACGACTTGAGATAAGACCTAATCTTACAATTTTGCAGTCGTGAATTAATGCAAGACACGGATGCATACCAATTATGGCCATGGAAAAGAGCCTCAAGATACTTGGGATTCGGATGTCTTGAGGCGTATTAGCTTACATCGGATTGTATATTCGTCAGTATATTTTTCCGAGAGAGCCTCGACGTCTTAGGAACATTGGCACTCGGGAGCCTTGCTTGCGTCGTAATTGCTTACATCACAGGTTGTCCAAGTAGGTATTCGTTAGGACATTCGTCACGTCTTTTCAAAGTTCAGAATGATGATCTAATTCTTTCTTTTCAACCAAACGGATCAGACAATGAGATATTAGAGCATCTAGTTTCGAACTAAAACCCAAAACGTGGGGATACATCATACTAAACAGATGTAGTGTATCACAGGCGAAAGCCTATCCAATATCCCATCAAATGAACTCAGGATTCTCGGTTCTCCACAACCTCTAAACATCTCACGTAGGTTACACTGAAACAGACCCTCGAAAAAATATTAGGTATGGCATCGGACATCAACATTACCATCGATCCATCTGGTCTAATATTGGCTCACTCCGTGAACCGAATCCACAATAAACCTCCTAGTCGTACTGTCAACCGTTACCTCTTCACTGCCACTGCCGATATTGTGAATTTGTGACTCGATCACATCACAATCGAATCCGCCCGGCCTCGCCGAAGCACAATTTGCACAAATGACATATATCACAAGATCGGCGGGAAAGTTACGCGGTTGCTCGCACCAAGGTTCTCTCCAGGAAAGAATCCCGTGATTCACATCGGAAAGCACGTAGGATGTCGGGGCTGGTGGAGCTCTGCACGGAAAACAGAGGCATGAAAGAGGTAAATCCGAGAAGACAAGTCGCAAACATGTTCCGGTAGTTGGTTCCCCGTGCCTCTAACGCATTTGAGCTCGTTTCGACTTCACTCGGGACCGCCTCAGGGTTTCGTCACTCGGCGATCCGAAGAAGGATGCGAGCGTACTGAGAATGGGTGCTGGCATTCAGGGTGGTCGCCTATAATGCGGCCACCTTCTCCATTTCACTGCATATGTCATTCCTTTCACAGCAGCAAGGAAGAAATTTTCGTTATCAACACGAGGATGCTTTTTTTTCAAGCACTTGCTTCAATTGCTTTAAGAAAACTTGGCTCGGCTTATTACATGAACTTTCCAGCCAAATCCGGGCGGTTTTTCATCAGGAAAGCTCTACTTGATACCTCAGCTCGAAAATTACAGGCAGTTTTCGCCCAAGCCAACCCGGTCATCAAAATTTCCTGGGTCTTACAGGCCCCCACCCTGAAAGCTTGACCATCTGCGGGGGTAAGCTCCCCTTTGCAAGCAAATTGCCAGTGCTCGTGCGCGGCGGCTCAAAAGATTAGCAAATCTAAGGTGTCATGGCTGTCCGACTCCACTTCCAGCCTCACGGTTCGTTGGAAGGATCAAAGACGCAGAAATTTTAGGGGAATCCCAGCCTTGCGTGCAAGGCCATCCATCAATACTCTAGTGACGTTTGGGTTCGAAGGATTCGAAGCTTTGGTTGGAAATGGAAGCGAAATGCGTTCTAGATTAGAGCCAAGAAGTTTCTAGAGCCTGATCTTCGAGGGTATTTGACTCGGGTTTCTTCCCGGAGGATCTGTCTCGCCAGTTCCGAACCGTCTGATATTGATTGTGGACTCGTTTGGTAGGCAGCAGATGCGAAACCATTGTACAAACTGTATTCTGGAACATTAGTATGCTTCAGAACCTTATTCAACCGCGAAAGTGGATGTTTTTCAGACAATCATCATGGGTTTTGACAGGCGCGAGATTGCTACATGCGAGCGTCTTGTTGGTACAGGGCTCTACTGCTGGCCGTGTTTGGTACGCATGTCGATATTCCAGATTACAGATGCTGCGAGTGCGCTCTATGAGACATGCTCTATCAAAGCAGCACCAAAAGGTCCCTTGATCCAGATAACAGTACTGCCTGAAGCGCATTGATCAAAATCCGGCATCGAGCGCATCGAATACCTGGCAATGAACCTGCAAACACGCGGGCCTAAAAATGGGTGCTTGTAAGGAGAATTTAGATCTGCGTCCACCGACACGCAAATATCATCCACATTCATCACGACATGTAATTCTCATTTCCATATACGTCTATCTGATACTAAAAAAAGAACATGAAATCATGCTGCCTTTCCTCTGGCAGAAAGCGTGGAAATCACGATATTGAACTACATACGTCGCTGATTTATGACCTTGGCTTTCACATCGAGCCTGCAAGTGCGAGTCGCGTATGCGCATCTGTGCTGGCGACGGTAATTAATGAGATCTCAAGAGTCCACGTCCGCCCAACTGCTGAGTAGATAGTCGCGTGCAAAATAATGCAAGATTACATTACATGCAAAGCAAATGTATCTGCGATCGGTGCAAGTCTCAGTATAATTTTACTCGCACTGCACAATCAAAATTATCCTCAGCATATTTCACATCCAACATCCATCCCTCAACATCAACTTGAAATGCCCACACACCCACTTGGGCATTCATTCAATACCATACCACATAGGTAGGCACGTGCCCAATAAGTCACCACCCCCAAAATTCCCTCCTCGCTACCTATATAATATCAAATAATTGCTTCAATCTTCAAGCACCCCCACGTCTCGTATGGCGCAGCAGGTAGGGTTCGTCATTCTCGAAGAATGATGTCCGCCTCTCTACCTCGCACTGGCAGGGCTTCGTCAGTGACAACGTATATAATACCTACCTCAACGCAAGTTCTGGTAACGTAGAAAACGATTTGGCTCATTGGGATTCTAGGCGTCCGGGCCTAGAGTTTTGCCCTTTTGCTGGTTGCTTTGGAGGGAGGGTCTTTTGGGTGACTTTTTTTTTGTGGGGCCGGTCGGTGATGATGAGATTGGGTAGTGAATCTCTCAGAGTTTTTTCAATTTTTTGAAACCTTTTTTGCGAAGACAGTAAAAGCAAGGAAGCAAAAGTATCGTGCAATTATTTATATTCATAATTCAGTCCTGATAAATGAGATATCCATCCTCTATCTGTCATTGCTCTTCAATACCGCCAATAACTCCCTATCAATCATGCAAAAAATTTCTCAATCCTCAATTCCCACACCGCATAACTCCTGACCTCCCTCAAAACCAGAGCCCCCTTCTCACCCACCTAAAACTTCCCCAAATGATTCACACACCTATCCCCCCTACTCCTCTCCAACTGACACGCCACCCCCGTACTAACCGTATAATCCGTCCCCGTCAACGGATCAACAATCGTATGGGTCCCCAACGCGCCCCTCACCGCCTTCGTATACGCTCTGAACAGATCCGCCGCAAACTGCGTCTCCTCCTCGACATACTTCTCCAGATGAAACAGCGCGCGTCCATAACACGTGCTTGATTTAGTAATCGAGCACGCATAGGGTTTTACACAGGCAGCGACAGCCAGCTTGCGCGCCTCGTGGGAAGGGGGGAGCGAAATGGCGAGTTGCATGTGAAAACTATCGGGGAATTCGCCGCGGGCGGAACACCAGCGGAGGAAATTTCGGAAGCGGATGATGATGGGGGAGAGACCGGTGATGGAGAATCGATGGCAGGATTGGAAGAAGAGGAGGTAGAGTGTGAGTTTTTCCTGGGAGTCGATGACGGTGTGGGGGAATGTAAAGGCATCTGTGGAGAGAAATTGAATCACGAGTTCGAATTCCGCGATGGATGTTTCGGGGAGGTGGAGTTCTTGAGATTGAGAGGCAGATTCTCTGAGAGGGGCATTAAAAGCGAGGTGGAAGAATGGGGATCGTGTACAGAGAAGACTTTTTGGTAGCATGAGAGTTTGTTTAGAGCCATTCATAGAGTTGACCACGATCTTGACGGTGGGTTCAGTGAGGACATTGATTTTGCTGGGAAAGATTTGTTAGTTCGAGTGACTATGAGTCTCTGGGGGAAATGTGAGTTCATGTGTGTTGATAATATTTACCTCAAGAATTGATCTGCTGGAATCTCCCTGCAAGTTTGTTCTTCTGGATTGGTTGATCTTCTGCTGCGGGTTTCCCAGGGTTCATTTTCATTTTCATCGCTATACTCATCATTGGAGGTTTGATAATCGTCATCATCATCCTCGAAATGAAAGACCTCGTTGTCCATAATGCCCATTTGTTCTTGATATGATATGAGACTCTTGGGGAAATTCTGTGATGTTTGTTTGTTTGGAAACGATTGAATAGAAGTTGATTCAAAAATTATTTAAAAAATTGTTTGAAATAGTTTTGAAACAGGTGGCCAACAAGGTATATTGGTGTTTCTGCTTTGAGATGGAATTTCAACATGAGAGAGCAAGTTTTTATAAGGTTACATTTCACGCTAATTGTAGGTGGCAGTATTAAAAAATAATTTGGCCAACAAGGTTCTTTTCATTTTTAATTCAGTGTCGTACGAGAATTCTACCTGATCCGTCTCGTTTCATATGTGATATGCCACATGATTTTTACTTCAAGTTTTCCACGTCCTAATATCAGATTCTTCCGTGGTTTCCTTGTTTCATTGTAAGTCAGAGAGCTCAAAGTATGGTAAAGTAATAAAAAAGCCACTACTACCATTCCTGCGCATCACTCTATTGTTCGCTCAATAAGAGAATTTCTTGCCATCAAGAAGATCATACGATTCGGCGAAAATGCAAGGTGTACGTTTGTCTGCCACTTCTCGATACACACGCATGAGATCTGCCGCGAACCCATCTAATGAGTCAAGCTCTCTTTGAAAACGGAATTCCTGAGCTTTCCCATGAGTAGGATTGGCAGACTGAAGGTAGGCTTGGATACATGAGCGAGCAAACAGCATACGAAGTTTTTGTCCGTTTGGAAAATTGACAACTTTGTGAATGTGTCCTGCCTGAAGATAAAGTCGATCTATCATAAGCAGCTGTTTGATATTATCCAAGATCATATCTGAGATATCAAGACTAAGTTTCTCTGCCAACTCGTAAAATTCGATAAGATTTGTCTATGTAAAATGAGAGATTAGCATTGCTTTATCCTACATAGCGGGTTATTATGACCTACAACTTGTTGTGACCCAGAACTAAAACCAGCAATACCCGGGCGGACAAAAGTACCAGTGTAGAGATATTGCACAACAAAATCAAATGCTAAGATTGAGCATTCGATTTTGAGAGTTTCTCGTGTGATTTGACCCAAAGTTTCAACTATGATGGCAGTCTGGAAGTATGGCGAGGCCTGAATAAGTAATGCTTTAGGTATGAGATAGCTTTTGACCCCCAAGTGAATACCCGCGGTGACGAGAACTTCAGGACCGCGAAACAAGTCGAGTCTGTTTGTGAACTCATTGGCGGGCAGTTGAGCAGCAATGTTATGAGTAGTCTTGGCGCGTTTCTGGGGTGGTGCATTGACTGTATCGCTCTGAATTTGATGTGAGGCTAGGTGATGTCAGTTTTTGAATTCTCAGGGCGTTTTCAAAGTTCATCTCCGTCATTGAACCTTTCTGGGGTTAGATTTACCATTATTGAACAGAGGCTCGGCAGGTTGGACTTCTTGAATGCTAGGAGTATTGCTGACTGCTCTAGATGTGAAAGATTCGAAGTTGGGACCGACTGTGCTAGAGCCAAATAAGTTAGACCTCGCCGACGTAGCAGGTACTGATCTGGCAGGAGACATGAATGTTGAAGTGTTCATTGTAGGTGGCGCTAATGTTGCTAGAGGACTTCGATTAGTGGCTGAGCTGTTAGCACTCAATTGGTTGACAGTCGAGGCAGCATTTTCTTGACTGTTGTTTTTTGCTGAATTGTATTCGGTGGAAGAACCCAACATCTTGGATGGAGAATTGTTGAAAGTTGCCCTTGTCTCACTCAATCTGGTTGAGCAATTAGAGATTAAATCAGATTGGGCACTGTTTGAACCTAAAAGAGACGTTGAATCTGATGACTCAGGCTGGTTGTCGCATACATCTGGTGCAAGCTTGTTGCACACCTCAGCTGTATTTAAAAGACCACTTGGAGTGGGAAGAATTGAACTAGCACCAAAGACCGGATGATTCAAGTCATTCATTGTGCAGACGATTCTTCAGAGAAAAACTTAAAACTTGAACTTTAATCTTGAGAGGATTAGTGATTCCTCTCAGGTTCACCTTCTTCTTTTTGTTTGAATGCAAGACTCTTAGCGCGATTTGCTAAAAGAGGAAGCGACGACCTCGATTCACTTAACGCAACACTTAAACCGTTTGAACATGAATTTGAAATAATTCTGATTACTGGAGCCCTCGGAATAAATAACGTCTCACTCGGTATATAAAATCTGGTGGTAAAAGTTGCTGCATTTTTGTGTTGTGAATAAATTAGGAATCATCGAATGCGTTTGGTCATTTCATGCTATAAAAGTAGCAAACGGAAGAACTGCAACATACTGATAGTCAGATAGGGCGAGAACGAGATAAGAGACTCAGCGATCTTGATGTTCGTCCTTCTGTCTCGTCTTATTGACCAGAAACGAGATATACACATTGTAGTCTTCATGTGCATTAATACCATTACCTCTGCTGCCATGTTAAAATGTTACGGAAAGAGGCAAAAGACGTTCAAATAGAACACACCACTTTAACATAAGAAAACAAAGTGTTTTTCACCAGTTTCTTGGTGCTGCGGCTAGAGCGATAGATGTGAGGAGAAGTTGAATCTGTGATTGCTCAGCATCTTCGATTAATACTTCCTGCCATGATTGATTGCTTGATTTCCGACTGGATATGAGTACCTATACTAGGCTAATTTTTGACCATTTATACATTCTGGCTGAACACTTACAATTTAGAAACAGCTATGCATATGAGGAGCCCAGCAAGGGCATCGCTTTTTATAGGAATGATGAGAAGTTCAGACCGTGACTAGTGATAGGATTCGGCCAATTGTAGAGTTGGAGAATATCAAATTATACATTGAGGTTTCGAGAGAGAAGGTCTTAAGATCCGTTGTTCTTTCATGCTTCGTAGCGGACATTTGCAATATGTCTGGAAATATCTAAACACAGCCGCTCGATCACTCGTTGGTTCTGGTTGATTGAGAACAAGATCAAAATCAATAGTCTCGGCTAGATGGGAATAAAGAGATATCACGGTCTGAAAGAAAAGAACTGATTTCGAAGGATTGTATTGTAATTTCAACTAATCGCAGTGTGAATACTACTCACCAATGCCCCCTCCCGATATATTGAGATAGAAAGCCGAATGTTCCGAAAACGTTGAGGTTTGAATACTTCGAGTCTTCAATCCCAAACTTACGATAATCCAAGGAAACTCCCACATCCAATAAGCCTTCCATGGGTCGGATCCGTATACATACAGGTCTGCCACATTCCTATTCAAAAAGGGCTTCATTCTCTTTTCTGTTAAAGGATCCTGATAGCATTGCAGTGCGAAAAGATCCATGGAAAATCCACTAATCCTTGTGTCAACCAATGCTTTCACCACCTCGATCGCTAGCCCATCGATGGTATCAAAAGCCGTCTTTACATCTAACCAACCAGAATTAGAGAATATTGGAAACGGTGTGAAGGATAGAAATAACAAAGATTTCAAATCATTCTGATACGACAACTTTTACAATTGAACGGCCGGAATCTTTTGGTCAGCATGACGAACGTCTTAGTCCGGGCTCAGACAGTCGTAACATATAGCGCAACTGACTACTTTAGTGCGTACCTCCTATGTAGCGTCATTGTTTCTGATGAGGTCGGCCTTGTCGTTGATTTCAATACGAACAGTAGTATCATAATGGATCCACTGTAGACAAGTTTAGCACCTGTAGTATTGCATTGTCACAAATGACTTTTGAAACCATGTCCTTCCCTCAGTAGAGTTCTCTGAAATGTCGACAAAAACTCTGGTAAATGGCCCATTGGCACTCCTGCTAACAGCACCAACAACTTTGAAGTAAACTAAGCATCTATCCTGGAAGATGTCGAGTAGATCCCAAAAATAAGATGCCATCACAAAAAACTCATTGCATATAATCAACTCACAACTCTACTCCAAGGTTGAAGTCCCATGTAAAATCAACGTGTAATAAAATGCAACTAAGCCACAACGAATGATAGAAATACTAGGTAAGATCCATGGATATCTCAAACTCTATCCTCAGAACACCACCAACGCCGCTCAAAGAACCACCCTTACAACCAAACAACACAATGCTCAAGTATCACTCAACTTCGCGGAAACTGTCCCACCTTATACATACTCTCCGGATCACTCAACTTCGTCTTCTTCACAAACTGTCCCACCTTATACACACTCCCCGTATCAAATCTCAATTCCGTCAACGGACACCACATCGTCGATCTCGAATACCCATCACTATCCACTTTACCCATCGAAAGACTACTCAACGATCCACCGACTAACCTCAGAACATCCAATTCAAGACCCTCAATTTCTTCAAACAACTTCTTAAACTCCTTTGCCTTTGTCGCATTTGTATCAGAGCATAGTAAGTGCTTTACATACGGTTTGAGCAAAAAGCTCGCCAGGAGCTCTCGGATTTGTTTCTCAATGGGATATGCAAATGCATCTTTCAGTATTTCCTTAAACGCGGAGCTTATAATAGATGACTTCTCGTCCTCATCCTCGTCATCTTCATCATATTCTTCTGCCGATGCAGTGGCAAGTTCAACTGTGAGATTTCTTTCTACATTCGAGTAAGAGCCCTTGAGTTCCAACGCCTTTGCAATCTTGAAAAATTGAATATACAATCGGATTGCTTCAAAAGGTTTGGGGTCCGCGAGATGGATGACGATATTGCCAGTATACATCCACTGGAGTGCCATATCGAAAGTCTCGACATCCCACTGGTTTAACTCCAAGATCGCATTATGATTGCTTTGACCATTGACATCGTCGGAATCTCTGTCACCTTTACTTCGAAACAACCTGAGTTTCTCCTCACAGATTTTCGAATAATAGGACAGAACGGTGCAAGACACCACTCGTTTTTCATTGCCCGTCTCGCCTTTGGAAGGCTCTAAAACGACCTCGACCATATCTCCGCCATGGAAAAGCGCGCTTCGTCTGCACAGAATTAGCAAGACAATGCTAGGACCGAAACTGGGTTCAACTTACTTATAGAATTCACAAGCTGGGACTTCAAATGGTGCCTTGCAAACATCGCTGGAGTTTGTATCTGTGATCATGATGCCACTGTTTGAGGAGGCTTTAGTCATGAGATCCCGAGACAAACAAGAGGAATAACAGATGCCTGAGTTTGATGTGCTTGGAGGTCAAGTTAGTCATTGGTCATCTAACCCCACGTCTCTCAAATGAAAGATGTGGTGGGAACACGATGAATTGCATACGTACTAATCTCTGTAATTCTATTGTATCGAAAGAAATTGATCTGAAGGTTGGATCTTGTTGTTGCGTGTGACATTGGGAAGAAAGAAAAGAATGGACTGGCGGTTGTATGTGACAAATTTTTCGGCAATAGAATGCTGTGATTTTCAATATTCAATCTTTGATATGGATCGATGGGTCGATAGTTCGGATGAGTCCAGAAAAAAACAGAACGTGAATTATCACAGAAGATGATAACCCTGAGAAAGCGCAAACATCTTTACAAGACCTAGCCGGGCGCTCTTTTCATGAATTTCTCACTGTACCATGGTATGTCATAACTTAGATCACCACCCTCGGCGATACAAATAGGAAAGTTTTAGAACTAATACTATCAATCAGACATGCATTCAAAGGTTCACGTGGTATGAAATATGCCTGAAGTTCAACCCAATTTGTAAGAAGGGAAATTCCATTCCAGGACTCTATCGAAGGCTCGCGCCCAATATCTATTATAGCGAGGCTCTGTCATAAGAGATATCAAAACCCGACTGATCAAATTCCACGTAGCTGAAAGTTTCGTCGTATTCACCGTGCTGAATTGAGTGTCCAAAATGACATAACTCAAGCCAGCGAATGTTCGATGAGCTTCTTATAACCGCTCACAGCCTCCTCAAGATCAGAGATCTTCAAATGCTCGTGATCAGAATGAGCGACCAAGATATCTCCCGGCCCATACAGATACCTCTTATGATCTCCTTCCAAATTTGGAACATCAGTACCATAGTTGACTGTGATAGTTTCAAAGCCTTCCACATCACTATCGCAATGCACTGGTCCATAGCCCTGAGTGAATTCAACATCCAAATCTTGCCCTGTCTTTTCTATCACATCCAGAACCAATTTTCTTAATTCCTCTGGCGTACCAGCAGCAATTCTAATAGCAATTTTGGCCATCGCGTCTTCCGCAATAACATTTGCCGCGACACCTCCATCAACTCTTCCGATATTGAGCGTGGTATTTCCATACTTCTCGCTCCACGGTAAATCCATTCTTCCTAACTCATACAATGCAGGTATCAGCATCGCATTCGCATTTCTTCCTAACGAAGGATATCCCGAATGGCCAGCCTTCCCCTTCGCGGTAATACGTAAACTCATTATCCCCTTGTGTCCAGCCGCCAATTTCAGTTCGGTCGGTTCGCCAAAAATAACAGTTTCCCAAGAAAGACCCAGATTGTTGGCCTCTTTCATACCAGCCCCCAATGTTTCCTCGCCCACCACATATAAAAGCGCAACATCCCCTTCGTGAATCTTGCCGGCCGCAATAAGGTCTTGGTACGCAGTAATTTGCGCTGAAACACTAGCCTTCGCATCTACACTTCCTCTGCCCCATATTTCATCGCCTCTTCTTTCGTATGGCCAAAAAGGTGGAACAGTATCGATGTGCGAAGTTACCAATGTTCTTGTTTGTCTTTTATCTCCAATATATGCTAGCACATTCTGACGCTTCTTCCCCGACGACGATGATGATTCGACCAATTCGACGTCTTGTATCTCCACGGTAAGATTTTGTTCCTTTAGATAGGAAATCAGGAATGCGCCAACATCATGTTCATTTCCTGTAATAGATCCAATCTCAACAAGGGATTTGTGAAGTTCGAGGAGGCTCAATGAGCCCGAGGACGATTCATCGATAATTGGAGTCTGCGAATCAAATGAATGAGCTGCGTTTACCAGTAGAAGGAGCGGGGAAATTTTGAGAAGCCTCATATTGAATGTGGTTGTGTTTTAAAGAGGTTGAAAGAGCTACGGTAAAGAGCTCAAAGCTCATAGCTTCGGCGAATGACGTTACGCGATCAAAAGCTCGGGTGTTTTGCCGATAAAACGCCGCGCGATGGAGTTTCAGGGGATTTGCCAAAGAAAAAAAGTTCCGAAGATAAGCTTGAAGATAGCTACACGTCTACAGCGAGCATGGTACATTCAAGCCACTCTCTACTTGATACATTTACCAAAGATAAGAACTTAGGTGGTATCATTATAAAAGTACTACAGAAACACCCAGCCAAGAATTACAACGCCGTTATTAGGCCGCTATCTTAACACCCTCAAAAGCATCTATTAGACTTTCCGGCGGACCTTCATCCATTGCCATCTTTTCTCCAAATTGGGGGCTATCTTCCCTTACTGTGAAACTGTATCCATGCACCCAATATGTCCTAGAGGGAACTAATGCAGCTTTCCTTAGCTCTTCTATGTTCTTCTTGGCATCCACACTGATACACAATGCGGAGTCGAGTTCCTTGATGCCAGGTTCTTTCAATACTGCTAGAGCAGCAAGACCTAGATACGAGTGATAGATATCTGGTGGATCTCCTGGCGTTTTCCCAAAACCACCAATCATATGTTGTGTTTTCTCAAACAGAAATCGTCGAGATCCATCTTTGTTGATAACGTCGGAACGACCTAGCATGCTTAAGGAACCTCCAACCCAAAAACAATAACAAGTATCAACCCGCTTGTTGCACCGCCCATTGAAGCCGACGAATGTAGAATCGACATCCGGTACAAAGTGATGATCCGATGTCGCTTCAGTATGGTCATCTTCATCTTCTTCCTCTTCATCATTATACGAAGTCTGCCTCAATGCCAGCCATCTGATAGTTTCCGGCAAGTTCGTAAGACCTGGTAAAGTGGGGTTTGGATTTGATGATTCGGTCGGTTGCGAAGAGGCGTGTTTTGGCAATCGATCGAGGAGGGACAAGGTCGCAATAGCACAATAGGTATACCCAGCGTGCGCCTCATGCTGCGCACTTTCTGAAATTCCTCCGTCATATGTCTGCCCAGCTCTTAAATGTCCCACTAATCTCTCGACGTCGATATCATCCTCTCCCCTCTCCTCGTGCGCATCTCCAGTCAACATCCATCGAAGCGCCGTAGCCACATAGCAATACCTCATATCTGTGCCACCTTGTATCTTCCCATCTTCCGTAATGAATTCCCCAAAACTTCCATCTTCCCTCTGCAATCGTTTGAGCCATCGCAAACACTCTTTCCTTTTCACATCCTTCAACCCCCCCACAAAACCTAAACTCAAGACCGCAAAAAACGTCGCAGGTAAATTCGCAGGATCAATATCTCGTTTCCCATTCCCTACATCTGCATAATAAACGTCAGGAAACCTATGATTAGTAGAACCACAAAACCCTCCAAACGGATGTTGGCACTTCAGTATCCACGCTCGTATAGCTCTGCGCTGCGACTCAGGAAATGTAGATGCGCCAACATTAAGTAAATCGAGCGCGGAAAGGATGAAGAAGCCAAGAGTCATGCGCGAGGAATCTGTACTGGTATATACAGTAGGCAATAGAGAATGTAGACATCTCTGCCAATACCTGATATGTTTCGCGACCTCCAATTTAGCTTCTGCCATTTTGACAATCTTGCTTGATGGCAGACAAGACAAGCTCAAAGTTGTCTACGAATCCCTCATCTGATACTTTCAGGGGTCACAGTTCAAGACATGGATGTAGCTCGGGAGATTCACATACCGGTACGTAGTGCGTCGTGATGACACAGGCCCCTTCCGGAGAACGATTCACCAATTTTTGGTGATTGCTGACCAAGCAAAAGTTGATTAGGTAGAAAAAATGCCAAGATTTTCAAACCCGAAAACCCTTTAGAAAACACTTTCATTTCCTTATTATACAGCAGCTATGAGCCTTCTTGGTTTAAGATGAAATAGATACAGTGAGGTAATTGTAAGCTTTTGAATAATCCTAAGCAAATTTAAAACAAACATATTGATTGGTAGATTAATGGTTAAATTTTGAAATCCTGCACGATCTTGATATGATATGTAGGTATATAATTCCATTCAGCTTGAGCTTCCCTAAAACCTCATAAACACTTATTTATAGGCATTACCCCTGCTTCGGAATCGGATTAATCACAACGCCTAAATAAAGCTTTCAGGGTAGCATCTAGCCTTGTACTCGCAGCTCTAATGAATAGATAGGTATGATCTTTCGACCAAAAATATCCAGCTCATCCAAAGTCACTCTTTCGACCTCACCCCCCCTTTCCATCCATCTCTACACAGCAACATATTTTCAACATGGGGATCATTTCCGGCGCAACAATCATTACCTCTCTCTCCCTCTTCCACATCACTCTCGCATTCTTTTTCATCACCAATCCGGCGACGGTTGCCGAGCAGTCGCTGGTCTTCATCCTGGGTGAATCGATGGGATTGGTGAGTTTTTCTCAGTTCCGACATCTGCGATGCCAAGATGTATATCTGGATATCTTATATAAACTAACCTATCTATGCAACAGCCCTACGAACGCTCCTTCGACCGCCAATCCGCACCAATATCCTTTCTCGGAATAGTTTTCCTCTTCCTCGGTATCACAGATCTAGTAGCTATATCCATGCCGGAGGAAGTATCCCAATACCACTGGGGAACCCAAGGTTGTCCATCCCCTCCTTCATCCATGCCAAATCCAAAACTAACATTCACTCCACAGCACCCATCCGATTTTCCTTCTCTGCGGCACTAGCACTCTATTCCTGGCTTTTCTCGTCTGCTTCCCCTATCTTTACATCTCGCAACTCCTATCATGCCGGTGGTTGGGGTGAGGGTCTTAAGAACCGTATTGTTTTTGCATGGGGATTTATTGAAATGATGGCTTGGTTTTGGGTTTTTGTTACTTTGAGAGAGGAGAGACAGCAGCTTGCTCTCAAACAAGCGCAAAAGAAGGCTGCGGAGGAAGATATGATGTGATGAATTTGATATGTCATCTGAGGGTAAATTATTTCTATGCTTATATTTTAGTAGGTTAAACATAATATAACATGGATATGAACATCTATTTGAGGGATTATTTGAAAGATGCATGAATACTACATGAGAAAAGAGAGGGTTGTGGGAAGATGAGTTATTATGATGCTTCTCTATATCTCACCTAAGCGATATTTTACTGCACATTGGAGCCCATAGCATCTATCTGCATCTTCGCCCATTTTAAAACTTTCCCCCTATACCTTCAACAAACCCAGTCCAGTAACCGAATCTCTCCACCCCTCCACCATACCCCCAGCCCACTCTTCCATGAAATTCTCTCCCGCTAGACTTCTCAGCTGCTCTCCTGAATCTCCTACCTCCATACTTTCCAACACCCGATCAATCCACCCACTTTCATCCATTCCACTCTTAATCTCCTTCGACTTCTCAGCCACTGCTTCCATTACCAATTTTGCGCTTTCCACCAAAGTCTTACTCTGTTCTACCTGAAGCTTATGAGCTTTAACATCTTTAAGCGCGAGAAATTTCGTAGCACTAATGATCACAGATGCAAGATCATAGGCTGTGTAAAGGGTATGGAGAGTATTCCATAGAGCTGGGGTTACATGTTTACACTCTTTGATAAAAGAGAGATGTTGTTCTAATTTTGCGCATAGAGATTTATTGGAGGTTTCGAGCGAGGATTGAAAATCTGCAGCTGATGATGCGGTAGGGTCGCAGGCTTTGGTTATGATGGAAGCGAGATTGCTGCATGCTTCAAGTGCAGAGGCTTCAGAGCGTGTTAAGAAGGATTCGTCTGGGCTAGTTTTGATCAACTCTGCTTGTTTTTGGAGTTCGGTGGATATTTGAAGGATGTTCTCTCTGAAGAGGGTAAAATTGATTGGCGTGGATGTGGCATCAGAGTTTATCATGGAGATCAATTTCTCGACGAGTAAGTCTGCACGGCTTCGGTTGCTCTGGATGGGGTTAGTAGGGTACAGGCGGTATTATGAAACAAACTTACAGATGGACCAGGTGCAAACCGGGTAGCCTTTTCGAGTCCTGTTCCTAAAGTAGACTCATAATCAGGGAATGAAGTGTAGTCATTGGAATCCGAGAATTTATCCAACATCTCTGGGTTTTTAGCTAGTCGTATGTCAGAAATGTCTTGATTGTGTCAAATTAATAAGGTAAACTCACGAAGAATGCTAAAAACATCCGAAGGCGCGGTCTGCTTCAAGAGCCGTGATATCTTTGTTGTCTCGACAGCAGAAGACACTGCCGATAATGTGTTGGTGATAATTTCAGAAAATTCTTGGAATTGGAATATTGTGTTGTAGCTTCCATGCTCGAATGCTTTCCAGGTGTTATTCGAAACTTGGTGACGACAATTTCCGTACATCTTTCTTTGTTTTTTGAGGTGGTCTACAGGCTTGAGATTTTCAGAAGATCCATCTGGGGCAGAAGGGAATGGATGCGGGTGCAGGGATGAGATCCTATCCAGTATACTGTACCCTAGAGTATCAAGCTGTATCTGCTTCAAACTCAGGTGCAAGTATGCTTTCATAGCTTGTTGACCGCAGCCAAGAGAAGAATATATTCTGACTAGAATGAGTGAGAAATCAGAGTTCGATTTAGACTGTGACCAGCCATATTCGAGACACACAGCTGCTTGTAAGGCGTACGCGATTCTTTTGCCTTTTAGAGATCCATCAGCATCACCGGAGTCTGAGAGAGCAAGTTTCATCAAGCACATTGCTGCTAATGTGCAGAAATCATCGGCAGGATGTCTGTCTGTAGGGAGAAGAGACTTAGAAATTCTCCCGTTGTCATTCATTGCAGATTTGTAAGCGGCAATAGAATCCTTGGAGATTTGCTCGAGGCAGACCTCACAGTATACCCCGCAAGGATTGGAACAGTATGTGCAAGTGAATGATCGTTCACTAGTTTTATGTAGAGGGCTCGACCGACGCTCGTGTTCGGAGATACTACTCACGATGAGGTGAGTCAATTTGTGTAAGTTAACACATCTCGTCATATCGTTTGCATTCTCGAACTGTACCAGTGGTTTAGAAAATCATAAGCGGATTTGGGTTTCAGTGCGTATCTTACCTCATTTTTAGTAACCGACAGGGCCGTGAATTGAGAGTCCAAATCCTCATTTTTCGCCTTTTTTCCGAATTGAATTCCATTTCTGAGAACATCGAGCAATTTGTTCCGTTCCTCACTTTGTGATAGCTCTACGTAAGGTCTGAGATCGCTAAAAGCTGTGGTAGCATCGCCAAATTCTTGCAAATATTTGACGATTGCAGCCACTCTAGGGTACTTTTCAACATCTGATCCCGATGGCTCAGTAGCAAATGGCGTAGAAGAACTCCTAAAGGTAAACTCAAGCCATGCTAAAGATGCATTTCTTCTCCATGTTTTGTCAATTCCAGAATTGGGGTCCAGATGCGATGCAATTTCTGTCGAGACAGTATCAAGAGCACTGCTTTTGTAAGTTCTTGTTCTATATATTGATGTCACAGTACTCACGAGGGGGTTTGCAAAGAAAGAGCAGAGTGTAGGTACGCTTGCCACACAGCCCAGTCGGCCATTCTAGCCTCGACGATCTGTCCGCGTTCATCCTTTGTGCGTGAACGTTTGAGAAGACCGCCAGTTGTCTCCAAAAGTTCTTGCCAGTGCTCAGATGTTTCCATGAGCTCTAATTTATTTCTCCATAATTCCCAATCGCCCTTGGCAACTATTGACTCGGGTCCAAGAGAAGGCTCGTTTAAATAATTCAATCGATCCTCCAATTTGCCATGTGCTGCAGTAATCCGTTGTAAAAGTAACAGCTCCTGCGGTGTGTGTATCGCACGAGTCGGGAGAGGCTTTGACTTCTGAAATCACCGGGTCAATATCAGAAATTTTGGACGAGACATGAACACATACATCTGCTTGTATTGTAGCTGTAGCAAGCTTACTAATCTGTCCATAAGCCAATCGGCCCCATAGAGTTCGCTTTTCGATAGGAAGATCGCTCGAAATCTGGCAACGAGTAAGCAAAACGCTTCAGAAGATGATCCTCATCCGATAAAATTACTTACAGATCTAAGGAATAAAGAGGAGATATTCCAGAAAACGTATTGGTGTTTACCTGGGAATGTCTTTTCAAGACTACTCGCAATCTATCAAGCATTTGTTAGTATCCCACGATGAAATCAGTGAGAGCTTGAGATACCTGTTGAGCATGTTCCCAGTCGCGTTCCGACAAACAGGCCTTGAACGATTTCAACCCAGAATCTTCTTGTTTGGGATATGCTTTGACACTTTGCCATCGCAACTCACCAATCGTCCTTGCCCAGATTGATCCAGCTTCTGGAATGGCATTGACTAAAGCATCATCATAGAGATCTATATCCTCCTGATCCGTAATGACAACCTTCTTAGCAACCAAACCTTCCAGATGGGGGAGTACGGTATCCCTCTCCGCTTGAGTGGACGAACGCGATTTAATATAAATCTTGAATGCCTGGAAACTTGCTTAGCTATATTCGTGAGATGGAAGAATTCCTCAGTCACGTGAAAGAGAGATATTTAGTAGTGATATTTCACCATTCACACATACCTCTAAATGAGGTGTCCGCTTTTTGGCCAACCTCTTGTCGACTAACTTCAGCGCTTGCTTAAAATTGCCGGCTTCGACAGCATTCCAAATGGGGACATCTTGACGATCATTGAGTAACTTATCAGCCATCATTCAAATGTTACCAGGTATGGATTGAGAAAGAGATGTGCCGGATGTGATAGACAGGCAGGTAATTAAAATATCTTTATCTTCAAGTTCGTGGATTAGATATATGCAGGTGTTGTGGCTTGTCAGCAGGATGCCGCACTGGAAACAATCAGAGTCTTCAACAAGTCAAATCAATATTGGTGAATATAATTTTTTTCAAGTTGCATCATTGGATTTGACTAGCGAGGAAAGAGAAGAACACCAAATTTGTTAGCTCTCTCTCCTATGCCATCCATAGTCTTATAAATTATATCGACACACGATGAAAACGTGAATAGAAGTCCAAACAATGTACGGACAAAAAGTAGGAAGATATGCATCTAGTATGTCGTTTTAATATATATTTTTGTGGTATTGAATGAAGATTCATGTGCTGCATTACATGTCTAGATAGTCAGTGATTGGCGCAAGTCTTGACACCCCGAAAGAGATGGATATCAGTTGTCGTACATAGGTAGGTATTCCGCATACATTAGATTGTATGCTTTGATGAATTTCCTTTAATCAATACCAAGTCCATTATGAACACCAACGATTTGAGCAAGCTTTTTCCATTTTGTTGATCAGAATGTTACTTTGAGCTGTCGGATAAGGCCCTTGTCAATAACTTTTATCTCTATTACCCTTCCTCCCCGCAAACTGACACATCACATTTCTATCAAACACAATCCGTTTTCTCATGAAGAGAACCACCCCGCTTTCCTTTTGGCTTCCTTTCGTTGCTCGATCTAGAATCATATCAGTAAGGTTAGCTGACCACAAGAGAAGGATTGATGCATACCCATTGCTTCTTGCAGTCTCGGTATGCTCTGTAAATCATTAGTCCACAATCCTGATGTATGAAAGGTCCAAAAGCTGTGATAGCCGCCCCCTCAAGAGCCAATTTATAGTTTGCTGCTATTCTTTGCTGTCTGTTGTTCATTGGACATTGGGTATCAAGGGTCCACATAAGGTTGATTTACTCTCCGGTACTTCTATCTTCTTCATCCTAATAAATTCTGGGGATAAGCTTACTGGAAATAGTCCGTACACATATCTCTATCACCTCCGTTTCGAGCCAAACATTTCAGACTTCTTGAAGCTGCTTCTTGACAGGGGTCAAAGTATTCTCCTGGGCGTTTGCTTTGCAGGGAAAAATCAGCATCTTGAACCCTTCGCCACAAGTTGAGTTGAGATGAATGAGACGGCACATGAATACCTTTCAAATTTTTGACTTGTCTCTTTATCCCATGGATTTTCTGTAGATTTATCCGACGACATACTGAAGTCCTGCAATTGGTGTAGAATGAATATGATATGGAGATGTTGGTGTTGGTAGAATGTGAATCACTTCTTTGATCAAGTTAATGGATCCGTTTAGTTTCATCTCGTACTTCGTGGTAGACTCGTACTCGAGAAAGTCAAAGCTTCCTGAAGTTTCATCACCTGCCCCTTCTAGACATTCCTTGTAAATCCCGATGCCCGACGCCCGACGCCCGACTCCCGACTCCCGGTACCATTGCCGATACCAACTCCGATCAACCGAAACATCACATGCAAATCATCATCGTGTCTCGTGCTTCCAAGGTTACTTCACATTTCCCACTCCCGTCACGTTCCATCAAAGCCACTGAGCCACTTTCCATCCTTATCTAAGTGCAGGGATTTCTTATCAACCGAGCCAAGTCCAGATATCGGCACTTAGCGAGGTAGATGAAAATGACACTGCACTGCTCAGTTGGTCTCTCTTACTCAAATGTTTAAACTTACTTGAACTTAGACATCTCCTCTCCACCAGTTCCTCCCGATTATTATCCAAGTATATTTTACAACCTTGCGATATTTTCAGTTCGCATTTATACAGACACCAACATAAATTATATATACTCTGCACATAAACTTACATGCTTACGCTGTAGCCTTTTCCAACAACGAAGCCCACAATGCAACAACTGAAAGAAAAGATCGCTATCAACTCATCACCACCCACATCACTGAGAATGGATACGAGCTTTATCAATCGTCAATCCAATGCGTCATATTGATAACTCCATTAATAGACTCAAACTGCCAGGCATATCAACTCACGATGAACGGCCGAATTTACCGGGGATTCCCCTCAAAGGACCACTTCCTCCACACAAATCATCCTCTTGTTGCCAATATTGTTATCGGGACCGTGCCAGTTTCTTGTTGAGGGAAAATGTCGATCACAAGACATTATCTCTTCTGGAGAGTCGAACGGTCTTGGGCAATTGCCAACAATAGGTTGTTGGCTGAAATGAGATTTCTTACTACTTTGGTAGTAGTATGTATATACCTACACGAACCTTGTTTCGATCAAGAAGCTCATCATATTCGTGTCTGGCATTCGTTACCATGAAAAATGACTTTTCAAATGGACAAACAATAAAGGTAGATATTATTTTTCCCGTCGCAAATTCTTCCACTGCAACTTTCCATTGCGACACTCAATTACGACCTTCAATGCGTCTCGTTTTCTCTGTTATATCATTGTCTCTTGTCTTTTGCCGGATGTTCCAGAACAAATATTATTGATAGATTTTTCTATGTCCGTTAACGGCTCAATGCATCAAGCGAAGCATGCCAAATATAGCCGATAGTACTAAGAGGTGTTTTGTGTTCCATTTTGGGTCATCATTTCCAGCTGGTCTGATCAACTCGTGATGCATTAGCCCTCCACACCTATCGATGACCCTCCACTTTTGATTCTACTTGTCTCCATAATTGGTTGCCGTCTTTTAACTTTGGTAATTTGTACTCCAACTGTACATTATCAACTGCTAAATCATACAATTGATGACGCTCGAGCATGGAACTGGCATACAATTCCCTTGCTTCTGTGGCTGGTTATAATACTGAGGCAGCTCACCGATTGGATGTTGTGGTCAGCGAAGGATTTGATTACCACGTTATCTTGTGCCCGTTTTTTATCCGTGTGGTTCCCGCTATCCATTTGCAGAAACAGTTTCCATGCAAATGTATCTCTGTTGCAGTACCCTGCATTCACTTTCGCTTGGTGCAGCGCTATTATTGAATCGTCTCAGTAGAAGATATCAATTCTGCTGTTTGGGCTAGACCTACGCACGTCGATCGACCACTCCGGATATTAATCAACGATAAGGAGTATGCTGGAGTGACGATTTCACCCAAGATATCGTGAAACTATCTCCACATTCACCCCCAAGGTCATCTAAGGAGGAAAAACTCACTGCCAAAGAAGGTGTGGAGGAGCATAGTAAGGGCGGCCAGGATCGAAGCATCGAGGACGTGCAAAATTAACGAAGGGTTGATAGTGGTGTAAGATGATGGTTGGTTGACAATCGTGGCACCGATGGATTACCACACAAGACGTACATTGGGCTTCAACTTTAAGACTTTGAAAGTTGTTATAGATATAAAAGAGTTGTCCTTCTCGAGCCGACCTTTGCAATAACCTTTATAATATACCATTCAAACATTCTTCCTTTGTGCTATCATACAATTATTAACTCGGTCAGCAACTCACTGAATAACTGCACCCCGGATAAATTTGTCTGTTAGTATATCCACATTCCTTATTGTCGTTTCAATGCGCTGTCCACGATGCACGGGTGCGCTTTCTTGCGTCGGCTCTCTCTCCTCATCTCTTAAAAATGTTGTCTCAAACTCAGCGGGCAAGTGATGGGTTTCGTTCAACCTCGAATACCATGGAATTGTTGAGGCTCGAGCTTCAGACGTGGTACTCGAGCTGGCAATGCATCAAACTCTGACAACTTCGTTGTGATCGCTTCCCCTGAATCATTTTGAGGTTGCCATTCAGTGGACGGCCATATGTTCCCTCAAGCACATCAAGTTCACATGCTGCCTTAGCATATCTTTTCTGACAGTCTATTTAGTTGTGAATATAAAAACACGGGCCCTGAATCATCTTGTCTACCACCACATCTTTCAAATCAAAAGTATTCACGTCACAATACCACACGATACTACTATATAAGTGCTTGAAAAATAATTTCAGCTACATTTAATTTCACAACCCATCTACATTTCCCCAATACCAAACAGTCCACTACATCAAAATGGCCACTATCGACGTAAGCTATCAACCAGGAACTCCTGAACCAAACTTGTTCCCCAAGGTAGCAAACTACACTTCCTCTAGAGCAACTCAGGACAGCCTCAAGCGATCCTTCGCCAAGTACCTAGCCTCAGAACAGAGTGCACCAGCTGTCGGAAAGCTATTCAAACCTGAGACTCATCTTCAATATGAAGAGCCTAGCTATATCCATTCTATGGAAGAGATTGGATACTCTGCCACTTCTGGTGTTTCCCCCGTCGCTGTCTCTGAGCCCTTCCGCCTTTTTAGCGAAGAAGCTGTTAATGTTATGAGGGAAGAGATCTTCGCCAAGGAAGTCCAAGAGAAGTATAGCTATACCTCAGATATTGCACCCAAACAACTCCGTGGTTATGCCCCCGAGTAAGTTCTAACATAAGCTCTTGATTTTGTTGATTATTAGACTAACATGTCTCTTTACGCAGTCACGGCAAATTCATCTACGAGGCTTGGAAACACCCCGAAACTCTCGCAATCATCTCTAAGATTGCTGGTGTGGATCTTGTCCCTGTCATGGACTATGAAATTGGCCATGTCAACTTGTCTGTCCCAGGAAAGAAGCGTAACCATGATAGCAGCGTTTTGATAAGCGAGGAGGATGAGAGGCCCATTGTCGGCTGGCACAGAGACAGTTATCCATTCGTTTGTGTTCTCATGATGAGTGATACAACAGGAATGGTGGGTGGCGAGACTGCTTTGAGAACTGGATTTGGCGATATCAAAAAAGTCCGCGGTCCATCAAAGGTAAGGCTGATTGCTTACACCCATTGAAGTATACCTACTAACGTTGCCTAGGGATGCGCTGTGGTTTTGCAAGGTCGCTATATTGATCACCAAGCACTGCAAGCATTTGGTGGACAAGAGAGAGTCACCATGGTTACCTCATTCCGTCCACGATCCCCACGTGTCCGTGACGACACCGTCCTCACTACTGTCCGACCCATCTCCAATCTTTCCGATTTGTATGGACAAACAGTCGAATATCAATTGGAAAATGCCGAAGCCCGCATCAGAATCATGCTCAAAGAACTTCGCGATTCCATGAAAGCCGGCGCTACCAATGCCAAAGCCATCAAATCCTTCCTCGATTTCGAAATCAGCCAACTAACCCACCTCAACGAAGAAATCGTCGACGAATCACTTGTCAAGGTCGGAGAGTTGGGAGAGATCTGCGCCGAAGCTGCGAATCCAAACAAGAAAGCCAGAGCTGAATGAATGATGGGCGTGGCCAGCCAGACTTTAATGACTTGATACGAATTTCTTTTTTTATTCCCTCTTTAGCGCCGATCGTTTGAATGGAAATATTTCATCTGGACCTTGGAATGAAGTTGAAGGTAGCGTGGTGGATGCAGATCAGATAGGCTCTTTTAATCTGGAGCTTGCTCCATAGTCTTTGGCTTCGAACCTTAGGTTTCGTCCCTTTCTTGTTAGTACAATACAATAGCACTTATGAACTGTTGATGGCTTGCTTTTTGATTAGATTGTTAGTATTGTTGATATGATGATTTTGCACTGCATATACCGGGAAATCTTGGGCGGGGTTGTGAATCACTGGTGGGGGATTTTGAGAGATCAATGGGTATTGGATGACTCGATGGTTGGTTGGTTGGATGGGTGCCACGTAATATTGCTTTATATTTGACAGAGCCAATGCAATGCTGATATGAAATCTGTGGGGGCTTCTCTTCGATATAGTGAGATGAATGAGGGGACCTCGAGGGGACTTGTGTTTTTGATTGTCCTATACAGTCGCGTGGGAAACACTAATTAGATCGAGTAGAGATTTCTGTGCTGCTGTGGATCCCGAGCATGGAGAACTAGGTACTTAGTTATTATTTGAGAAGATATATAATATATTTAGATTTGTGGGAATCCTGGATCATATATAAGAAGTCCTATCAATGACTTCGAATATATCTGGTTCTTATGTTTAGAACTTCGGATATCGGATTGTTCGATGAATAGAATCGTGAGGTTAATTGATGAATGATTTCTATATGATAACTAGTGTGGGTAGGTTTATATGTTATGTGGTACCTACTAACATGAAAAATAAAGTTTCAAAGTTCTCTCAATATAGAAAGGTGCAACGATCTACAATTCACATTGACATGAGATTTCCAAGTTTACTCGTGAAGCAGGCGATTTGGAATATACTCTACTGTGCTGTGCCACAGAAGATCCCCAAAGCCACTTTCTAAATGTGGGCCCGACGCCTCTCGACGCTAGATGCACGTGATCGTCTACCCCATCACGCTAAATAAGGCTCGAGCTAAGGTTATCTTTGCGGGACGCAATCCATTTTGTGCGTCCATCGACTTTCATTCACAACCCAACATTGACTTTTCCATTCCAACACACAGCCTTATCTAGAAGGCACTTTTGAGCGCTCTGAAATACAAGGCGCTTCTTTCGATCAATTTAACAGATATATCAACTTTGTTACACTGCTACCTTGGTTATCCATATACAACGG